GATCCTTTCCGAGGAAGTACTTGTTTGATTCCATCGTTCGCACCATCGTCAGGAAAAATGTCTGAAAATAGGGTTTATTTCACCAAGTTTTGAAATTTAACTGGAAAAAAATTGGTGAAAAATCCTTCAGTGGTACAGTCTACGCCGACCCTCTGTTAGGAGCCAGGCCTACTATTGTGACTTTCTCACTGATGCGCTTTTCATCACTACCGTCTTTGAAAAGGAAAGACCATCTAATGAACATATCATTGGCGAATCGCTACCGTCTTTGACAGGAAAGACACATCAATGATCATATCATGGGAAACACAATACTAGGCCCGACCACGCCCACGTAATCAGCGTAGGCTGCCGTTTCAAGACAAGGAGAACTCACCTTATTCATCAGCAACTTATGGAATTCCCGTAGACCAGCTTCGATCGCACCTGCCTTTTGGCTATCCACTTCGAGATCGCGAAGAACAGGATGATTGTGCGGATTGTTCGGGAACAGCACCTATACAGCAGTTTTTTTCGTGAAAGAAAAAAAATCAGAAAAAGTGACAAAAAAATAATTCAGAAACAAGTATTACCCTCGCACAATAATCCTTGTATTCCAAAAATGGCACTATGGGTGTTCCTAATGGCAGATCGGCTGTGTACTGATTTAGAGAAGTTTGAAGCTCAGCGAATGCCTCTTTACACTCGGTGGCTACCTGAAAAAAAGAAACACTTTGAATAATCTTCCACACAACTAATTTCAGGTTATTTCAAAAGTACATTCCCGTTGGCCGTATGGGCGGAGACACTTGGGCAAAAGCGCCCTTCTAATCGATGCCCCCTCCCTCTAAGAGAAAGATCATCGATGGGAAGGGCGCTTGTACAAAGGGAAGGAGCAGAACGAATAAGAAAGTCTAGTGCCGGTGCAAGTGACTCCGCCCATACGGTGAACGCAGAAACCAACGCCAGACACCAATCAATTTTCAGACTAAAACGAAAAACAGCAAGAAAACAAAACTCCCTCGATACTCTTTCCTGAGTTGGTTAGCTCACCTTCAGCGGAATGACAATAAACAAACAAATAAATAAATAAATAAATGTGAGAAACAACACAAAACAGTCACCTTCATTTCAATAGTATCCATCTGAGTCTTCAGATACTTCATCTGTCTTTGATGTGAATTCGTTTTCCTCCTAGGAAAAATAGAAATTTCAAAAATCATGAGGGGAACTCACAACACTTCGTTAGAGCAGTAAAATGCCAAAATAAATGAAAAATCCTCACCTATACATGATAGCGAGGCAGACGAAACAGACGAGCATTGCGGCAATACACGCTAAGATAACTATCACCACACTAGACGTTAACGACGGTGAATCGTAAGACAACTGGCCGGCAGTATAGCTAAATGACGTCAGAATTGAAAAATTACGTCAACACATGGGTTTGAGCGAAGTAGCAGTAAGCCCACGTTTTATTGGGTATGGGTCAAGACAATCGTAAAATTCCGAGCTGGTGGGCGTGGAAAGCGACGCCGCTTTTAAGACAGACGAGTTCTCCTGTCTGGCCGCTTCAGTGTAAAAGGGATGAGAAAATCGATATCGCTCATTATGGAACCTTGTCTTTTTTAGTATGTTTATATCGTTTGTTCTTCGTTTGCTCGAATTCCTATGACTTTCGCTGCTCCAATCGACAAACTCACCGAATTTGCCGCGCAAGGCCGCACGTTACGCCGCGCACAGCGACGCGACAAATTACGATTGTCTTGTCCCATTTAAACGCTTGCCAGTGTGTGTTGTCTTCTCACAATCGTGTCTCACCTTGCAATTCCTATAAATTTCTGTCAAGCACCTTGTGAATTCCTGTCAAACTTGACGAATTGGTACTAGCGTCACTCGCACTCATTTCTCCCTCTTTTTTCCGAATCTAACCGGTCATTTTGACAAGTTTGACAGGATTTTACAGGTGATCGACAAGTAATAACGAAGCTCACAGGCGGGTGCTTGACAAGGTCAGTTGTACGTTAGGATTTGGAAGCTGGACACAGCACATACACGGTGCCAACCCCCCCAAGGCTACTAGGGCCCAGACTAGCAGTAGGACGTAATTTCCTACCTGATATTTCCAATCTTCACAACAACTTCCGGTTGTAGACCACCTTCTAGAGGCGGCCTTTCTGTCGGTGGCTTACATGTAAGGACTTTCCTGGCAAGTGCTGTTAACTGACAGTCGACACCTCCCACCTTAATTATTGACTGATTAGTACTAAAGAAATATTGGTAAAGGGTAACAGCGAGTCCCGCGTACCGTGATCTTAATATCGCGTTCCATCGCTCCCACGTTCAGATCTTCACCGTTTATCGTCAGAGTAAATAATCGCACTGGGACGATAGAACGCGTCTCCGAAAACTGATCTACTCTTGGATTTTGGTACACCTCCAGCTGTCGACTTCTGAAATAGCAGTAATTTGATTATAGAATCAACACTAAGCCGTCAAATGGAACCCAAAAATAGAATAGCTGCGTAGCGGAATCACACAACAAAAGGATTATTCCGGCTGGAGGTGACTGTCAGTATGCAACTGACGTAACTTTCAGATTCTCTGTTGATGGCCGCGCTGTCATAGAGGTCGCGGTTTGGCGCAGGCCGCCAGCCGCTTTTCTTCCATTCTCAAGCGAAAAAAAAAACTGATCATACAATAGTACCGATCGCTTTCCTTCCAGTTGTTGTCGCTTACCGCTTTAAAACCCGGGCTGTAAAACGGTCCTCAGTTGGCTGTGGGGCCATATCCAACCTCCCTGACACACCATCACCGCAGCGCCATCACAGCTGGACCCCCGCATGTTTTCGGAAGGGGGGGTGGGGTCAAATTCATGATATCACATTTCATTCAGCACGCAACCGTCCATCCCGTCCGGAGATCAGTTAATTCAGCCCCAAAAGAGTTGTCTACAAAACAAAAAACCCTGACTTTCAGATCAGATATCTGCCAAGTTACTGTACGCGTATTGTATTGGTAGGATTTAGCGTTAGTCCGGAAAGTTCTCAGCGTTTTTGAGTTGTGTTTCCTTTTAACCTTTTTCTTACTACCACATCGGGGGGGGGGGGGGAGGATGGGGGGGGTGGGGGGATACAAACTGAAAATTAAGCACGTTCGAATAAGCACACTTTATCCTAATGTGGACACTTTTCCTAATCGTGACCCAGTACGACAACATCCCATCAAAGAAAAAGCTTGGTAACGAGAATCCACGAAATCCGCGAAGGCTTTTCTCTCTGGTCCTGATTGATGAAGTATTTTCCAGCAACGAATTTCTGAAAATGTTTCAAAAGATGATTTAGTCAGTTGGTGAAATGGTCTGGACATATGGCGGGGCGAGGTAGAACTTCAACCCCCAGTTCGTTCAATTCATGGATAGTGATTTGTGAAACGTGTGGGCGTTGTCATGCAAAAGAATCGGACCCTTTCTGTTGACAAGTGCTGGCTGCAGCTGACGCAATTTTCGGTACATTTCGTCGATTTCTTCACAGTAGGACTCTGCTGTGATGGTTTGGCCTGGTGACAAAAGTTATAGTGGATCACACCAGCCGATGACCACCACACTGTGACCATAATCTTTTTTTCGTGAGGATTCGGCTTTGGAAATTGCTCGGTGGTTCGTCGGCATCCAACCACTGTCCGGAACGTCTCCTGTTATCATACATTGATCTCCTTTTATACACGTTGACAATTCGGTCTAAGAAAAGAGTCGTTTCTGTTTGCGCAAAAGCAGTTGAAGAAGGAAACTCGAGACGCTGCCAAAATTTTGCCGGTTCACTCAAAATTGTGGGATACCAAAAACTTGTCGAGTTTTTCACCTTCCCAATGCGTTTCAGACCATCCGCAACAGTGGATTTGCCAACGCCTAGCTTTTCTGCAATCTCTCGAACTGTTTGGGATGGGTCAGCCTCCACAAACGCCTTCAAATCCCTCGTCAGGTATTTCTCAGTCGATCGCCTAGTGAGGTTCAGTCTCCACAGGCGCTGAAACAGAACGAAATTTTGTCGAACCATTGTCGCACGGTGCTTTCTCCAACACTATTGGGCCCCCACACCTGGTTAATTTGTCGAGCTGTCTCGACTGCGGATTGACCCAATTTGTAGTTGAAGAAAAATATCGTTCGAAAGTTGCTCTTTCTTGGACATGCCTTCAAGAAAGTCTGAGAAATTGGGGTTGTCAAGCAGTGGTGAAACGGCAATTGCACCATCAGATAGCGCAAAAAATTCTCTTAAGGATATACTACTGAGACGCAAGGGAGAATGAGTTTTTAATCAGCAATGAATGTACAAAAAATAGTAAAGTAAAACGCTTGAGAACTTCTCGGACAGGCCTGAATAGAATGCGGGGCGGCATCCTCGGAGCGACAACGCTTTGAAGATAGACGCTTTCTTTAATGACCTGATTTTACTGTATCTTTCTTTCAAAAAAAGAGCACTTCAACACAGGCTGATGAAGATAAACTTGGGTGACTACACCGTCTTATGGAATGCCCGATTGTGTGCGTTCACGGCCTGACACATTTAATTTCACGCGCAATCTTCAGGTACTGTATCCCGTCTGTTTTTTAGAACTTATAATCTTGTATCTACCATACAAAGTGGTAAAATGAAGGATTAACCATTGAACAACCTGCATGAATTATTTCGTTTTTGGTATGCGGTATACCTTCGACTATTATTTAGGGTGGTAAAGGCACTCATAAGAGCTCTGAGCTCAACGACGGCTAGCGAGACAGCTTCGCTGCTAATCGAAGGCACTAACAGCTGGACGTAAGGGCGGAGCGAGAGGATCCTCCTGGTGTCCACACTGGCACTTCTTCTTTCCAAACTACAACGAGGAGAAAAGAACCAATGAAGAAACCGGAACGGTCCTTCGACTCTGCCCACAGGATCAGCGTGAACTGTGCTTTCAGCTGATCTCAGAAGATGGAGGGTCAGCATGTCAGGCTTAAAATCGGGATTTCATTCCCAAACTATGGGTGGGCGCTACTTGCCACTACATCATTCTCGTTATCAAAAAAAATTGAGGGAGCCAGAAGGGAAAAGCAAATGGTGCTCATTCATGTCGCCAAACTCACTCAGTAATTGTTCCATCAAAGTCAAAGGCAAAAGTTGTGATGCAGTCGTCCTCCAGTGTCGCCGGATGGTAATCCTGGTGTCACGCATACCATCAAACTATCGTCCTCCACTTCACAAATCGGTCCTGCTTGATAGACGCTCCTGGAAATAAAGATCATTGCCTTTTACGTCGAAATATGGACCAAGTCCTTGACAGGCACACAAGTGGCGGCTAGGAGATCCGAGCTGTGGCGGCGCAGCGTCCTTACGCGGCATCCGCACTGGGACCTGACTGATTTGACGAAAGTAAATTGAGCTGGGAAAGGCCAGGCCCACTGTTGCCTCGGATTTTCTGGCCCATGCAAAGCCACTTACCGATCATTGACAAGAACCATCCTTGGCCTTTGCAATAACGCAAACCCTTCACCCTTCACATCTATCTGCACTCCACCGGCTGCGATGCTCTTAGCCGGTAGGACGGTTGAGACGCGAGGATTCAGCCTAAATCGTCAACACATCAGATTCGAGCTTTTTCTCACGTCTATTAGTTGATAAATTGAAAAAAGAAATGAGCAGAGAGAAATGAGTAGGAAATAGAAGTGAAGAAAGAGCCACTGACGCGAAGTTGTACGTTACTGGATAGGGTACTCGTCCACGAGATCCATCAAAGTCGATACGAAGCTGTCTGCCACCCTGCGAATCGCTAGCGTCCATACGACATATCAGCTGATTTTCCCTACGGGATAGAACCTAAAAACAAATGCCAATAGAAATCCAAGATATCAACACTTTTTGGAATGCAGATTTCAGCCCCCTCCAACTCTCTCTTACCTCGCAATTCACTTCACCAAATGATACGTGAACTTCGCTTCCAGCATCCAGATCGGTACCATAAAGGGTCACATCTGTTCCACCAGACACTGGCCCTAAATCATTTCAATGAGCTCACGCGGCATAGATAAAACACTGAAGAAATCAATTAGAGCGCTTCTACATTCAATAAAATCTCCATAAATTTCCCACCTCTGTCCGGTTTCACGGCCGATACTGCCGGTTCCACGTACTCATAGTCATATTTCGAAACTGCCGCATAATTAGCATCATCAGCCCGAAGTCTTACCTGGATTCATAATAATCAACCCTCGTTAGACTATGAAATACGAAAAAATAGGTTTCGGTAAAAAAGAAAAAATGATTTCGGTACAAATAGTGAGAGTGATAAGGGCTTTTGGGATAAGGGTCCCAAAAGCTTTCCCCCTTCAGCTTTACGATTTAATTCAGGCACTTGTTCTTGCAGGAAACAGGGGAGAGAGCCAACTTATCCCACGCTTCCCGCCTGGACCTACCGCCTTACCAACCTTCATTCTTCCTAATTTTCTGCGGACGTCTTCCTGTGCCCAAGGGGTCATAGGACCTGCCGTTGCCTTCATCTGTGCGCTGTCCTTGCGGACCATTTCGGCAAATTTCTTCCACCCCATTCCCTTTCAACACAGAAAATGGCAGCAAAACCATGTAGTTTTACGGGATTCCGATAATGACGCGCCCTAGTTACTTCGGCTGACTCCTCCGGGAAACCAGATCATTTGAGACAATTTCGTCCACCTCATTCTCGATGGAAAATAGACTCAGCAAAATCAGAAACTGAATCTCGAGAATGCTCTTCTTTTACCTAAGGATCTGCTTCGAAGAAGATTTTGTGGTAGACTCAGCCACCTTTCAAGCCACATTTCGGTCAGGGTACGCCGTACGTTGGGCATCCTCATGAAGGGGGAGGGGGTCGTATTTGGTCGTTGGGAAAGGAAAAGGTTGTATTTCCGCGCTATATACGTTTCTCCCTATCAGAGACAGCCTTTTTGCGGGAAAAGGTGGAGGAATTTCTGGAGGAAACTCCGGAAAAGTGGTAGGAAGTTGGAACACTAGAGACAGAGAGGGAGGAGGAAATATCCAAAAATATTCCTCAACAGACGTACCCTGCCGTTGGGGAATATTTTTGGTGCATCCAGCACTACCCCAACTTGAGGAAACTAAGGGCCATTCGTCAGAAAAACAATTGCAATGTACTGGCTTCTTATTGAAAACCTAAAATAAAGCTAAATTTGAAAACCCTGACAACTCACCACAATTGGACCTTTGCTGTTCTTAATAGCTGCTTTGCCAGTTTCACAGACAATTTCCGTCGCTGGATGGTATTCTGACGGTATCACCGAGCACTGCACATTGGCCACGATCACTGCACCTGACACGTCCTGATATCGGCGACCAAGGTTTGTTCCAGTGATTCGCAGCTGAAACTAGGTAGCTCAAATCCGTTGAGACCGAAAATATAACCAGAGGTCACAATGTGACGTCGCGCCACATTTTGCTGCGCAGCGTTCGCAGGAATCGTATTTAGCGGCAGCGCTTTCACTCTCTTCTTCGAGAAGCTCTCGTGCTGTTTCTGCGTCTCTAAAGTTCCCCATGCCTTGCGAAAGCCTCTCATCCGTTGCGCTGCGCGACGTCGCGTACTGACCTCTTGCTGTCTGCCTCATGGCACTCAAAAGAATTTAATGTGTCTCATACCTTGGTTTTTCCTCCAACTGGACCCTTTCTAGGGCTGAACTCGTCGATGGTGGGATTCGCGCACAATTGAGTACTGTTCAGCCAATCCTCTGGTGATCTTGCCTCGCATGCCAACGGTCGAACGATCGAGAATCCGCCACACACCAGCCGCATTCGTATTTCGTCGTGTCCAACGTCAAACAGGCTCCACAATTTGACGCCAGTGCTTCGCATTTGTACACCTGAACATGGTGCTGGAATAACGCTGGAATAACTCTCTTCTAAAGATAATTCCATCTGACATTAGAACCTAGGAACTACATTCCTGACTGCTAGAAATAGGCTTGAGAAAAGAGCTCGTCGTAAGTTGGTGATCCCAGCGAGGGGATCGTATTTAGCTGTTGGAGGAAGCTGTTGGAGGCCTCGTATTCGCCTTTGGTAAGAATGTTTTCGGTTGTGTGAGCTTTTCTCGAAGTTTTTTCCTAATTGCCTACTATTGCACGTGTGCTCAATGGTAGCCCTCCTCCCACCCTCCCCCCCCTTCCCTGAAACAACATCATCAGAAGAGAGCGGCAGCTTGAGAAATTTAGGATAGACGATGGGGGGGGGGGGGCTAGAGACTGCGTTGGGGATGGGTGCCTTACCAGAAAGGAAATACGTGAAGGGTCGGATTTTGTATATAACTTTCCTAAACGCAATTGCGCCCTCCTCGAAAGTACATATAATAGCATTATATCAATTGAGCTTTTATTCAGCAGCTAGTGTCCCAGATATCACAGAAAAACTCAGACTATTTTCCCAAGAATGCTTTCAATGAACGGATGTGTGGTGGAAAATGTGATGGCGCGCTCAGACGCGACGCGCAGCAGTAGGCGGATCTATCCATTTGGCATTAAACCCCTACCCGTAATTATTCTATGCAATGACAAACACCCGAAATATCTACCAATATGTTCCAGATCATCTAACCCCGTTCTCCTCAGCAGAACATCGATGACAGCCGCAATGCGACGACGACAGTTCAACGCACATTACCTGCGGCCAGCGTAATCCGATATAAGTGTTATATTGATCAGGTCATTTGTGCACATTCCAGTCACGTTGGCAGCATGCTATACGCCTGCCGTCATGTCATTTTGGGAGCACCCGCCACTGTTCAAAGGTGAAGCCCGCATCAACGATGGTGGCTGGCTTCCGCCGATACGACAGTGTGGGATCCGATCTGTGTGACAAACTGACGCCTTCTTACCTCCACTGATACTCCTCCAACATTGTCTAGCGTGTGCCTCTTCGTCGAGTCACCTGACGACCACACAACATTGAACTCAACTGGTGAAGTTCCACCCGAAAGGCCAATACCGTAGTGATCGAACTGCATTTCGTCGCATCTGCAAATAGACTCCATCAGAAGGTGGAGTATTAACTGATCAGAGGGACAGTCCACAATATGCGCAAAGCGGAGACGCGTGAGGCCGCTGTGCTTGTCCGTGGTGGATCTTCCCTTAACGATCTGAAAGGAGCGATGCATCAATGAGGAAGGCAGAGTGGTCGACTGTTCCCGCCCATGCGATCAGTGTGGACTGCACTACCAAACTGTCCGATGCACAGAATAATGAGTGGTACCCAAAATAGCAAATCAATGAAATACTAACATGATATTGTCATCAAATGTCTTCACGGCCGATTTCTCATGTTCGATGTTACCCACTCGAAACTGACATCGAAAATCTGTCATGAATATCGGGTCGAGATTTTGCATCTGAAAATTGATTTGTTTTGAGGTAGCCAAGAACGTTACCAACATTTCCCTTACCTTCACTGAGATATTCCGCCTTTCACCCGCCGCTACGTAGAGTTTAGTCTGTGGCGCAACAATGTGAGGGCACTTCTGTGGACCTTTTCGACGTGAATGACCTTCTCGCTGAAATCATTCATTTAGCTACGGATAAGGTCAACATAAGTGGAAAAGATGTCGAACTTGCTATAAATAAGCCATGATCTCTACAAACGATGGGGCGTGTAAAGGGCTTGACTCGACGCGCAGCGAGGCGAGCCTTTCCCGCCATCTGTTGCGGACTCTGTATGGCATCATTGGTAGGAAACGGCCACCCTGAGCTGCGCTCCAATCCACGCCTCGTCACACGCCCTAGTTTGCAGGGATCATACTGTTTACCATTCGGCATTCTTACCCTCCTATTTCCACTCTTCTACCTGTCAAGTGTGTTGGAAAGTTATGTCCCACGTTATGCAAAATTGCTTAGGTTGGCGAATTTCCCACACCCTTGATATTGATTAGTTAGCTCCAAAAAGTTGCGGGAGGGTGGGCACATTGGGACACGTATACAGGTCGTTTCAGTAAGCGCGGCACATCATCGCTATGCAAATGGTAATGGGGAAGGGGGCAGCTGAAGTGAGAGTAGTTATATGTAGCAACTTGGGTCCTCAAGAGAATTTCTTCCAACTAATGATTTTTTTTTCATTCAGGTGCGCATTTTGCGTGACAGCGTCGCTGTACAGGAATCTTCAGGTCTCCACAGGAGAAATCGGCAGTGATCGGAACAAAATCGAACCAGTTACTTGCTCCTCCCCCCCGCCCCGGGACCCGGGCGATTCTATCGTCGGCAAGTCAGGTCACGTCGCGCACATCGCGTCGCGGCGTCTCGCGCGGCGGCGCGGTGCGACAATTCCGGAGTTGCATTACCGACATACAAATGAGTCTCGAAGACCGCGTATTCACAAGTTCCGAAAAGCCCAAAATTGGATCAGTAATTTTGAGCAAATAACGTGGGACCAGTCTTACACCCTTTACTTTTGAATGCGGAAAAAACAATCATTGATCATCATAGGAAAATGGGAAAAGCAGTACAGGATTAACAATATGGCTTGATGATCATTTTAACAATTTCAACGAGCACGACGCAGCAGGACTCGTACGCGGCGCCCACCAGCGCGGCGACCTACTTATCATCGACGATAGAATCGCCACACACGACATATACCGCCACGAGATATCAACTATTGAGAGCACACTCCATGATCGTAGTTTGAATGAAGCTGAGCAATGGTGTTCGTAGCCGGCCCGCTGGTGAGCGCGCAATATACCTTCAACTATGCATC